ACCACCATGAACATTACCACCAAGGTAACTGAGCACTCAAGATCAGTGCCACAATATGAAAGCTCATGAACTTTACTCATAAACCATTTAGACTCACTCATAGTCTATTACTCTTAGTGTGTGTATAGTTAGAAAATGCTGCATCATCTGCTCTCCCAGCCTACAGCATAAACAAAAGTAGTCCAGGATCATTTGGTTTAGAGGAAAACAGTCCTCCATATCTCAGTACTCTTTAGGAAATACTTACCATGTGGTGAAATAACACCCATAACAATGTACCTGAGTAAGAAGAATTTAAGAAGGTATGCGAGTGCTTACAAATTTTGAAAAGGTTATGATTAAAATACTTTTTTAAATTAAACTTTTAGAGAATAGACTCTTCCCAGATGACCACAGATACACCAGGGCTAAATAAGAGAAAAACAAGATAAGTCAGAGATGCTTCATTTTCTCTTCCTCACCATGTGCTATGCTCTTTTCAGAGAGTTTTTGATCTACTTCTTCAGTGTTCCTGAAACACCTCTCCAGTCAATGCTGACTACTTCATAAAAACCTGTTAACTGCTATGAAAAAAGCTTACATTAAAAATGACCGTGGCTTGCTTTGCAAGTTAATTGGATCTGATCCTCATACCAGAGTCATTGATATGACTATTTTATTTGCAAATATTGTCAGAATAGAATGATGTTCATGAATTAGTATTTAAATTTTTTTTATTGCGATAAAAAATATATATGACAAAACAGTTGTCATTTTAACCATGCAATTCAGTGACATTAATTACATTCACCACGTTGTGCAACCATTATTAATTAGTATTTAAATGAAATTTAGTGATTCTTTCATTGTATATTACTGGGCACTTATTACGAGCCGAGAATGGCATTTGTGTGCCAGGGATATGGTGGTGAACAGGGTGATGTGAACTGTTTCCCTTACGGGTTTAACATTCTACAATAGCATGGAAATATTCTATATCTGCACCATCCAAGTCCAATATGGTGGCACTAACCCCATGGGGCTACTGAACATTGCAAACGTGGCCATTGCAATGGAGAAACTGAACTGTAAACTTTATTTAGTTTTATTGAATTTAAATTTGAATAGCCTCATGTGGCTAGTGGCTCCTGTATTAGATGGCACAGCTTTAGAGTCTAGTGCTATGTGTGCATGTTTCACTTAGACCTTTTGTTTTCCAGAAATATCCATGTAGAATTGATATTGAGAATGACCCTGACATCCTGCCAGATCCTTGATCATTACGCAAAGACTTTATTAACTCGGACATTTTAAAGAGCTTTTAAAATGAAACACATTTCTTGCATATTCACAAGTCCAACTTCACTAAAGAACTCTGAGTTAATCCGAGTTCTGGAAGCACTGTCACTTTGAGCCTGTTTATGATATTTCAAATTCTCCTTATCATCCCAAGGGAAAGTCACTTGGCACTAGAGCTGAAGAGAAATAGGGGAGGACATTGTGGCACTTCAGCTTCTCAGTTTACTAAAAAATTATTGTTGCTTCCCTCTGTGTCACATGTATATCTAAATCTACATCTATGCACACATAGGTACATATATGTAAGCATACAGTGGTTTCACTCTCTGTTTACGTAAAGGTGAATGCCTCCTGGAATCCACACTAACATGTCAACAGTTTCAAGTGGGATGGATATATTTAGGCCTGCACATTCATTGCCTATCTTACCAGCTGCTATTTAGATGTCATTCTGAATAGTCTGGATCTTCAGCAGAGAGAATAAAGGGGGAACTTATAGACTCCCTGCGAGGCCTGTTCTGGAGGCGTGAGACAACAACCAGTAGGAAGAGGGAGCAGGCTGGAGAGGTAGGCACCTCCAATTCATTGCTGAGAAGTTCAAGTGTAGAAAAAGTGTTGACCTGGGAGCGAGGCAGACATGGGCTAGGGAAGCCCAGTCGAGTCTCTCCACGTTACTGGGCTGCGGTTTCTTCCCCAGCAACACTGAAGAGCTGCACTGCCTTCAGGCCTAGGACGAGATGGCTAAGAATAGCTCTAGTCTATTGTCATTATGAATAGGGTCATAGTCGCAGTGATAACTGAGCTAATCACTCTGTACTCCCCATCCCCACCTTCACCTCCCCTTGCCTTGTTCATCCACACGAACTGGGCTTGAATGAACATTAAGTGCAGTTCTGGAAGGGGAAAGGTCACAAATAGCATTATGCACGGTGGGTGGGTGTGGATGTGGCTGTGAGTGGGTAGAGTGTGAGGAGGGTCCTTCTTTCCCTCTTGGCTTGGGTGAAATTAGTCATGTATGAGTCACAATCTTTTCATTAGCTCTAGTAGGGGGTGGTGACTGGCCTCACCTCTCAGCAGGCTGTCTTACAGCCCCCTTAGCTATGTAAAAGGAGAGGACCCCAGAAGCTGGGATCTGGGATAAGTGCCATGATTACTAGGCTTCTGGGCCAGCTCAGTTTTGAGCTTTTCTTGGGGCTACTACCATTATTAGGAGACCAGTCTTTGGGTCAGTATCCTGGGAAAGTGTGGCCTCCCAGCTCCAGCTCTAGAAAAGGTGAAGCACAGAAGAATGAAAGAGGTGATGAAGCGTGGCCCGCAGAAGTGTCTTTGTCTGAAGCCAGAACCTCCCAGGTTCTTTTTCCACTCCAACACTTTCTGCACCTCAACTGCCTAATGGCCATGGCAGCATCGAGTCAGAAGTATTATTCCGTTCACTGGTTATGGCATGCCTAGAAGTCGCAGAGAAGAATGAGTGAACTCCAGGTTTCTCCTCTTAGGAACATGATTCTTTTTTTTTTTTTTTTTAGGGAGATGGGGGTGGATAGTAATTGGTCCCTTTCAGAATCTGTTGAAAACTATGGACCCTCTTCCCTCAAAAACACCCATGTACAAATTCCATGCTCTTTGGTCTTTCAAAAGACTCAAGTGCCTCTCCATGCAACCCCTAGATGATGCTTTGCAACATATGTTCCCTGGTCCACCTGCATTAGAATCACCTGGGGGTGGGGGAAGGTGGTGATCATTAGAATGAAGATTCCAGGGCCCCACACCAGACTTACTGAATCAGACTCTTTAGGTTAAGAGGACCTTGGAATCTGCTGAGACATCCTTTTGAAAATAAACCCTGGTGTGGGAGAAGTCCCGAGAGCAGGGTTCTCATAACAAGGATTCTAGATGATTCTGCTGCAGGCAGAAAATTCTGGCATTAAGAGAGGGCCAGGAGCAGGCTCTATACTTTCATGGTGGTATACTGGAAAGAGCATGGGATTAGGAGCCAGGAGTCCTGTGTTCTTGTCTTAGCACTGCTGTGAGCCATGTAAATGATTTAACTCCTTAGGTCTCAGGCTCTTCTTCAGCTCAGTGAGGGGGTTATAGGACCTGGAGGCTCAACTTTGCTATCTCTCATTCTAGGTTTCTTTACTGGCATTACAGTGCCGAGGATCTTTGGGCCTCAGAGAGGTGTATCTTCTATATTTTTGATTGCCAGATGGTTTTACATTAATGATTTTTTATTTCCTTCACTGAACTGGCTTGGTTTCTAACTTGTGAAATTAACAACAACAAAAACTTTATTTTCGAGACTTTTATTTTTCTTTATAAAAGTGACATATGCTCATCGCAAAAAAAAAAAAAAGCAAACATTACATAAATGTCTCTCCCCATGACCAACTCCAGTCCTACCTCTCAGAGATGATTCCTATTAACAATTTGATATGTGTTCTTCTAGACTTAAAAAAAAAATAAAAAAATAAAAAGCATCTTCTGCTGCAGCAGGAGAATGGCTAACATTTATTAAGTGCTTATTAAGAGCTCAGGCTGCTAAACAAAAGGTCAAAAGTTCGAATCCATGAGCTGCTCCTTGGAAACCCTATGGGGCAGTTCTAACTCTGTCCTATATATAGGGTTGCTGTGAGTTGGAATAGACTCAACAGAAATGGGTTTTGCTTTTTTATTACATAGCAGGCAATGGGCTAAATGCTGGACATACATCATCCATTTAAACCTCACAACAACTCTATGAGATATAGGACAAAGTAGAACTGCCCCATAGAGTTTCCAAGGAATGGCTGGTGGATTCAAACTGCTGACCTTTTGGTTAGCATCTGAGCTCTTAACCACTGTGCCACTACTGCTCCATATGAGGTATTAGGGGTGAGGAAATTTTATATATATATATACATATACATAAACACCAATAATTTGGCAAAAACGGGATGATATTTTACCTACTACACTGCAGTGGTTTTCCTGTGCAAAATGAGGACATGTTAAAATATGATTTCTGAAGCCTGCTTTTGCTCTAACATTCCCTGATATAATTAGTGCTTTAGCTCTCTACCTTATTTTTTCCTATTTATGAGGAAAAATTCTGATTCTCTTAGTCTTCCAGGATCAATTAGTTGATGCATTTAAAGACCTTTCAAACTTAGAAGTGCTAAGTGGTTCCTTCATTACTTGTGGAGCAAGCAAATCTGTGCTGGAGATGTCTCAAACTGCTTTTTCTAAAGTAGTTACTGGGTCCTTAAGAAAAACAAGATAAATATCGAATCCAAGAGGCCACTCTGTCTCAGCATTGTGGACATAGGGATGATGGAGCAGGAGGTGCTTGGGAAGGGCCATATGGTATCACATCTCTCTTGGGGATCTGTCTTCCTGGAATGAGTATTTCCAACTGTAGGTTCCCTAACAAAGAAGGGATTGTGTGGCTCACGACCTTAGCAGAACACACTGCATTTTAGATGAGGGACTTAATCTATGCTTGTGGTGTTTGGGCCAAAATCTGAGATAATAAGGCCTTACATCACTGTGATCTATAGTCATATCCCACTTAACCCTTTCAACCTCCCTAATACTATAGCCAGAGGGGGGATGGTTATCCCATTGTCAGGATGGAAATGCAGAAATTCAGAGAGGTGTGCCCATGTCACACAGCAGCAAGAGGCAGAGCCTGGTACAGAGTTGCGGTCTCCATCCCCGCTCCACTGTGGTGGGTCATTGGGATGTTACTCTCCACTTCTTTTCTCCTGGCCCTTTCTGATGGCTGGACTCCTCTTTATTGCCCTCTTTGATCCAGGATTATCCGAATGAAAAGGTGCATCACCCTGGTATTTTAATGGGCACACACAGGCAATAGCATGGAATTTCTCCGAATTTGGGATCCGGCCAATGGTGAGTTTTACTTTCTAAAACAAGAAATAAGAAAATTAAATGACTAAAGATTATCCTTCGGTGTGTTTATTCTTAGTCTGTTCTCATTCACACTCTCTGAAGCTGTTTTTGAAGAACATCCTTTGATGAACTACAATATATGAAGCCTGGGGTGACTTGTGTAGACGATGGGCTATATTGTAACTAGCATTTAACACACCTCTTTCACCCACTAATCTGTGAGCTCTTTGAGCTTAGGCTGAGGCCACTTTTGTAGCTCTAGAACCTTCCAGCATAGAGTAGATGTTCAGTAAATGGTGAATGAATGATACCTAGTTTTAGTCCTTGCTCTGCCACTAATTAGTTATACGTCTTAAGAACTCACTCATCCTTATTGGGTTTCCCCATTTGCATAATAGCAATAGTACAATTTGTCTAACCAACAAGGTTATTGTGTGATGCAAAAGAGATACCAAAACCCAAACCCATTGCTGTTGAGTTGTTTCTGACTGATTATGACCATACAGGACAGGGTAGAACTGCCCCATAGAGTTCCAAGGCTGTAATCTTTACAGACGCAGATTGCCACATCTTTCTCCCACAGAGCAGCTGGTGGGTTCAAACCGCTGACCTTTTGGTTAGCAGCTAAGTGCTGTAACCACAGTGCCACCAGGGCTTCTTGCAAAAGAGATAAGACATATAAAATCATAAATTCTCAGAGCTGGAAGGAAATTGGGAGAGCATCTAGTATAGTGATTCTCTAAAATTTTAAGCCAAGGAACAGTTTCTTCAAAGAAAGCTAACAGGAAATCCCACTGTATAAGACAAATGATAAATGTGCACTGCTGTAGTTGAAGCCCTGGCTCCCCTATCTCCCCCTGCCCCAGAGGCCCAAGAACTACAGTTTATAAACCAACTCTTTCACTTTAGAAAGAAGAAACTGAAGCTCAGGGGAGGGAAATGATTTACCCAAAGAGCAGCTGGTGGATTCAAACTGCCGACCTTTTGGTTAGCAGCCAAGCTCTTAACTACTTGTGCCACCAGGGCTCCAAGTATCTATAGTGATTACCTAATATGTGCCTGTCACTGTTGTAAGCACGTTACATATATTATCTCATTTAATACTCCAACAACTCTATGAGGTACTATCATAATCCCTAATTTTACAGAAGAGAAAACACCGAGGCCCAAATTTTTAAAGGAGCTGGGATTCAACCTGAGCCCGTTGGATTCCCCTGCAAGGTCTTTTTGCCACATCACGATGCTTCCGAAGTCCTCAACCCAGATGTTCTGTCTCCTCGCCCAGTGGGCTATCCAAATACTACTTTATATGAAGGAATTCTGAAAGAGCCCTACGATAACATTGTTATTTACACTTGGTGGCTGAGGAAGAGGCCCATAGGTATTCAGAGTACTGTTCAAACACCATCTAAGATCTTGATCTTGTTCCTTCTGGCCCTGACTTGCCCTGGCCAGGGCTGGTAGGCAGGACTCACCTCCTTTTGGATAGACCGGCTGAGAAACAAGGAGACTTCCTCCAAGCTCTGGGGCTTCAGGTCATTCACGGCCAAAAGGTGATCTCCATGGCAAAATAAGCATCCCAGCCGTGGGGGGCCTACCCATTGGGCCACACTGCAATGGATACAGCAGCGAGCACAAGTATGAGACCACAGGGCATGGATGGGGTCATGCAGGCTCCGCACTCTGTCTATCCCATTGTTGCTGCTATCACCGGTTTCCTCAGCTAAGCTGTACCCCATCTGAAATAGACTGCCTCTTTTTTCTGTCTGGAATATCCTTTCCACTACCACTCCTTTTGGAGCCTGATCATTCCTCCAAAGCTCAGCTCAAATCATACCACTTTTATGAAACCCTCCTACCATCCACTTCCTCTGCTGTAATTAATCTCCTCTGCCCCTGTCCTTCTGTTGCACTGTGTGAGTACCTCATGTAAGTACTTTTAAATGTTAAGCATTTTATGTTTACTTATTTATGTGGCCATCTTTTCCACAGGCCATGAGGCCCTGGAAGTGCAGTGCCACCTTTTTTTTCTTTTTTTAAAAAAATCTTTATAATCCCATAGCTCCAAGTAAATGTTTGGTGGAAGTGAGCACATAATGATTACACAATGAATATTTAATAAACAAATAAATGAATTAGTAAATGAGCAAGTTCAGGCACAGAGAAGAAGTTCATGGTCCAGTTAAGTATTTCTTGAGCCTTAGATTGTGGGAAATTTGGAAAAATGGAGGATCGTGCTTCTTGTCCTCTTAGGACTTACAAGACAATTGGTAATGTTATGTCCCCCCAAAATATGTGTTGTAAATACTAACCTCTATGCCTGTGGTTATAATTCCATTTGAGAATGGGTTGTCCTTGTTATGTTAATGAAGCATTGTAGTGTAGGGTGTATTTTGACTCAATCTTTTTTGAGATATAAAGCTAGCAAGCAGAGATAGGGGAAGAGAGATGCCAAGCCACATGAAGACCACCCAGGAGGAGAAGCTCAAAGAGACAAGGCCCTTTCTCTAGAGCGACAGAGAGAAAGCCTTCCCCTAGAGCTGGCCCCCTGAATTCGGACTTCTAGCCTCTTACATAGTGAGAAAATAATTTGTTTGTTAAAGCTACCCACTTGTGGTATTTCTGTTATAACAGCACTAGATAACTAATACAGTTGTAACATATACTGTTACTTTATATTAATAGGGTCACTATGGGTCAGAACCGACTCGATGGCACGTAACAACAACTTTATGTTAAAAGGTTTTCTCCCCTTTAAAAACATGGTCTTCCACCAAAATGAATTGCCAACTCTTTAAGAGAATGCAGAACAAGTAGAAAATGATTAAGAATATTTTCTGCCACACAATCTTTTGTATCTGAGTTTCTGATCAGCAGAATTTTAGCTGGTTTTTGGAAGTCTTAGGCCCTAATATGCCTTCTCCTTTTTGATTTTTGATTTTTGTTGATTTCACCGGTTTCATTAATTCATCAAATACTCATTCTGCATTAATCGGGGATGGTTTCATTGGACCACATGTACTTTCTGCCCACTTCTTCTACTTTGAGAAATCAGAAATTTTCTGCTTTCTGGACTTTTGGGTCCTCCTATACCCACCCACCTCCTGGTTGGCCCCCTACGCAACAATATTCTTGTTTTTGCCAGCCTCAATGGAAGACCCTTTGTGACGACAGCAACACAATAGTCCATGCCATTAAATAGTGTTCAAGATAAACTCATGTCTTTCAACCCCATTTATAACCAATAGCACTCAAATCTCTGACCTACCATATCTGTCCAGCAGCTTCTATGAGAGCAAGGTAATTTATGACATCAGGAGGAGAAAGGAACACATCCAGTTTCTCTACTTGGCATTCATCAGGGATGTTACTATGAGATAAGACATTTGTAGAAGTCGTATCAGGCAACTGGCCCTGGGTCTGAACTATACTTTCTGAGGAGAGTTCTTTTTTTTCTCCTTAAATTGTGGTAAAATACAGACAACATAAAATTCGCCATTTTAACCATTTCCAAGTGTATGGTCCAGTGGCACTAATCATACTCCCAATGTTGTGCAACCGTCACCACTATTTGTTTCCAAAACTTTTTCACCACCCCAAACAGAAACCCTGTACCCGTTAAGCAATAACTCCCCATTTCCCTATTCCATGGTAACCACTAATCTACTTTTTGTCTCTATGTATTTTTCTATTCTAGATATTTCATATAAATGGGATCATATAATGTTTGTCCCTTCGTGTCTGGCTTATTTCACTCAGCAAGACATTTTCAAAGTTCATCGATGCATAGCATGTATTAAAATTTCATTCCTTTTTATGGCAAAATGTATTCTATTGTACATTTATACCACATTTTATTTACCCATTCATTTGTTGATAGACGCTTGGCTTGTTTCCACCTTTTGGCTATGGTGAATAGTGCTGCAATGAACATTGGTGTACAAGCATCTATTTGAGTCCCTGCTTTCAATTCTCTTGGGTATATACCCAGAAGTTGAATTGCTGAATTCTGAGTAAACTTTTGACCTCTTACATCTGAGATTGTATTACAATATTGGCCTAAACATTTACAGAAAATATGAATTTAAGTTACTGAAAAGCACTCATTATTGCCTTCACACCTTAGAATGTGGTAGTGGGTGGCAGACAATGGAAAGGAGGCAAAAATGGACTAAATTGACTATATAATATCAGGTCAACTTGCATATCTCTCTTATAGAAGATACTGAGAAGTATTAAAATTGAGAACAATTTCATCAAATGCTCTTGGTACCACCTAAAACCTTACACATTCCCCTCTAGTCTATAACCAAACCTCATGTGAATTTCATGCCTTATAAATTATGCTTACAGTAAAATCTGGGTGACATGCTACTCAGATCAGTTTGGATTCAAAGTTCTAGAACCTGAAAGACTAACCAAAGAAGAATTTTTAAAAATAGTTGAAAATGCTACCCACATCCCAAGGGATCACTTTGCTTCCAGCTCTGTTTTTCACTGTCCTTGGCAACAACCTCAGTGAAAGAGAGAAGCTGGTCACATTCCTGGCCTACTTGGAGATTTTTAGGAATGGCTTTAAAAATGTGAATACTCAGTAAAAAAGGAAGCGTGCCTTGCTCTTGGGGCCCATAAAGTTTTACAAATTAAAGCTTTACTTGATTAGTATAGACAATTGCACAACAGTTAGTGAGGCCGACCCCTTTTTGTCATTCGTGGTCTGTTTTTCTGAATTGGCAGGTGAGAGACACGAGTCATTTTCTGAGCCTTGTTCTTGCAGGTGAAGCCCCTCATGCTGGGTCTCTGCAAGGGCTTGGGATTCCTCTTTGCTCTCAGCAGACTGGTGGGGTGTCTCTTTGAAAACACTAGAATATAAAAAGTTAAAACAAACCTTTTTTTAACATGTCGACTTACAACTTTCCCCTGTGTGTGAATCAGAATTAAGGAGCTAACAACCATGTAAAAGCTAACAAGGTCTTGAAGTATGTCCAGCCATCAGAATCACAGCCACAGCAAAATCAAATCCAATAAACTTTCCATCTAAAAATGGATATGGAATGAAAATACATGGGGAGGGTTTGGAGGGCAGAAGTGAGTGTGAGAGACATAAATGCAAAATAGAAAATAGATTCCCCGGAGACCGAACATGTTCTGAGGATATTACCAATGGTTTTCTGTGGATGGGGAAACCATTGCTACTTTTTCTTATTTTGAGATTACTAACTAATGTGCTAAGTCTGGGGTCTTAAAAGCTTGTGAGCAGCCATCTAAGATACTCCATTGGTTTCACCCCTTCAGGAACAAGAGAAAATGAAGAGAACAGGATATAAGGAAAAGATTAGTCCAAAGGACTAACGGACCACAGCTACCACAGCCTCCACCAGACTGAGGCCAGTACAGCTAGATGGTACCCGGCTACCACCACTGATTGCTCTGACCGGGATCACAACAGAGGGTTCTGGACAGAGCTGGAGAAGGATGTAGAACAAAATTCTAACACACAAAAAAAGACCAGATTTACTGGCCTGA